GTGAGGCTATTAATTTTGATGTTTTATCAAAACAAGAAATCTCCAAGAGCTTACATAGAAAAGATAGGATTTCTTTAGTTTTTACCATATCTCACTTCACAACAACTTAGTTGACATGTTTTTCTAATAAAGATGTGTCCACAAGTAACAGGTATATGAACTAGGAGTAAAGTTTATGCCGGCCAACCTTTATGAAGTCAAGTTCATAATTTGGCAAGATTTTATTTCACATTTTAAGTTTGATTGACATGTATGACATTTTCAAACACAATTAAACTTATATGAATTAAGCATGGGTGAGAAAAGGGAGTACAACCAGTGTGCCAGGGTGAGGGGAGCCCGAGAGATGGCAGAGTAGTGTCGGGTCCCCCACACTTGGACTTTTATGTCATTTGACACTAAAAGCCAAGTGTCAATGTTGGAGCATCCCCTCAGAGTGTACTGCAACACCCATATTCTTAGACATTGTTCATCCTTCATTCCTGCAATTGTTAGTGACCAAGAATACCCTAAGGGAACTTATCTAGCACCATGTTCTTGTTTATTATAGGAGACTTTATTAGGAAGGGAGGTCATAGCTTTATTTAAAAACAAGACTAAGCTAAAACAAGTTTATTATGCAAAATATATTTTTTCTACCCTAGGACAAGATTGTTTTAAGTTACTATGCATAAAGGAAAAGTGTTTTGGTTGAAAACTAAATAGGCAAAATTCAAAATCAAAAGTTGTTTGGAAATCAAATATGGCATACATATCGATTTACCTGTCGGCAAGGGCTCATTATTTTAAGTCAATTGGGCATGACTTCTCCATTGAATTCAACTTGAATTTGCATCATCCAATCCCAGAGATGAGGATATAGATAGTTGCACTTCTTGTTTCTGCCATACCATCTTGACTTTCGTGTGGTTTTGTCTAGGTGGGTTTGTTGTGCTTGGAGGTGTGTGATTCACCTTCCTTTTTTATCAAGGTTTCATCCCTGCAAAAGTTAGTGGACAAAACATACCCAAGGGATTTTACAAAGATTTTGAAATGATATTGGTTGATGTTATAAGCTAAAGTTTTTCCTCTAGGCTAATGAAAAGTTGGCATTCTTGTTCAGTTAGCAAAGAAAATTCCCTTTTTTAGATTCTAAACCTTTGTTTAATCAAAGTTCACCAAATAAGCCTTGATTCATCTCCGTATGACTTTATCTCAAAGACTTACCCTCATGAATTTGATAATTTCCCACAAGGATTAGTCCATACATACAACCAATGTCTACGCTAGTAGTTTCGGTTCAATAATCAAACTAGACACCATGTCCAATTTAATTAAGATAGGCTAATTAACCTAAGCACCACGCTTAATTCAATAAGCCTATGAAAGTATGATCATCACATCCAAACTAAGCCCCATGCTTAATTTAAAATATGTATGATCAACATCCAAACCAAATCATACTAGTGTAGAGAAAGGAAGCATTAAAGAATAAACATGATTCATCCAGAGGAGGTGAAAACATTGAATGGTGAACCAGAGAACCATAGTTCCTTTTTTTATGCCTACAAAAGCTAGTGGTAGACTAGGTTAGTAGCCATCAAGGTCAATATCAAAATCTTTACACCAATTGCTTCCCCGGCAACGGTGCCAGAAAGCTTGTTGGTATTTGTTAACGCAAACAGTTAAATCCACAAGCGCACGGATACCGTTGTAGCTTTTACCCAGGAGTATTCTAGGGTATCATATTTATCCACAGGGAAGCAATGGTTAAAGAAGTTGATAGTTAACCATCATATATCTACAAACTAGTATACTGACTAGACTAATGTGGGGTAAGTGATAAGATAGGAGTGATGGATAAATGACACACAGGAGATCTCCATGATAAGATAGAAGAGTAGACAAGCTAAGCTGAGAGAACAATGGGTGAGTTCAAGGTTCCTACATACTTCTCTATTACAATGGTTCCAATCAAGTACACACTAAGGGGCATAACTAAAGCATGAATAAGACATAGCAATCACACCATAACACTTTGGGACATCAGAACACTAGCCATGGAAAGGGGTGAGAAAAGGGCTAGAAAGCTCCGACAACGGTCTGGCAAACACCAACTCGAACATGGTGGAATACATCGGCAGTCAGGGCTATCACCACCTAGGGCTACTAGCTATCTGTGGTGTTGGGTGCCATCTCAAGTAACCTATAGGCTCGACACCATGTCTAGTCTCTATCGATTACTACTCTAGTCACGATCTATAACTAGAGCACCTGATGTGAGCGAAGATCCTATGCTAAGGTGTAGAACCATTATACTAATCAAGCTTAGCTAAACTACTAAGGTATGACTTAGATAACCATGATAGACATTTCAGTAATTAGAGAAGATAAATATGCAATACTTGAGTCTTACAAAGAAACCGTACAAGATTATACCAGACCTCCGTGGACTCTTCCGTAGCTCAACTCTCCCTAACTCCCAACTAGCTATTCTACTACTACATCTTGGAAATGGAGTGAAGAGTGCCCCTTGTGGTGTGTTTGAGAGTGGGGGTCTCTCCCTCTTCTTATACTAGTACAAAAGGTCGGTTTGGGGTAATATTCCTTGGATATCTGCATGCAACCACCTTTGGGGGTTCACCAGTGTAACGTCCCAGGCCCGGCACATGGCCTAGGGCCACTCTGTTGAGGGGTGAGCCCCACCTATGTAGCAACCCACTTGCGCTTTCGTCCTCGCTTCACGCAAAATGGTTAACCGAAGGTTACTACGTGTCATTGGCCTGGCTATTTAAGTCGGCATGGCCGTCCCTCAGTTTCCACAGTACTGAACCTGGTGAATAGTGTTTCACGATGGTATAGTAACCTGATTGTGGCCCGTCTCAGCTCGCCGCTATAGTGCTCGTGTCTATAGCCCACCGTGTCTACAGTACCCGTGCCCCATCGCTATTCTGTTCGGCCCAACTCGGCCCTATTTAAGCGGGGATGTTACAATCACACTCCTTAGGATTCGACGTCCCCATCGAATACCAGACCGGCTTACCCTATCCGGGACACCGACCAGGATACCCTCTCTTGGCCATGTCCGTGCGTCCAGTGCTGGCACATGTGCCATGTCGTGTCCTCACTAGCCCCACGCGCATGCGCACCATGCCCGGGCATCTAACCCACCACGTGCCCGTGAAACCGCGAGAGTCAGCTCTGATACCAAATATAACATCCCAGGCCCAGCACATAGCCTAGGCCCACTCTACCGTGGGGTGAGCCCCACCTACGTAGCAACCCGTCTGCGCTTTCGTCCTCACTTCACGCAAAACGGTTAATCGAATGTTACAACGAGTCCTTGGCCTGGCTATTTAAGTCGGTCTGGCCGCCCCTCAGTTTCCACAGTACTGAACCTCTGGTCAACAGTGTTCCGCGATGCTACAATATCCCACGTGTACAGTGTCCTCGAACTACAGTGCCCCCGATTGTGGCCGTCCCAACTCGTCGCTACAGTGCTCGCGTCTGCTGTACCCCCGCAGCTACAGCATGCCCCAACACTATTCAATTTGGCCCAACTCGGCCCATTTAGGCGGGGATGTTACAAGCAGGAGGCGCCACGTGGAACCCTGGAGCTAGCGGTGCGGAGAGGGAATCGGTCGATCCCTCGGATCGGCTGACCCCAGGTAACACCTCCCCTCGACCGCCTTTGTCGAGGAACCTGACAGGTGGGTCCTTGACGCGCCCCTCGGTGGTAGGCTTTAATTGTTGTCGGTTTGCTTCTGATTTGTGGGCCCTTCCCCCTTGTGCTTGCGTCGGAAGATGTTTCGTTGTGTTTCTTTGTATCCTTTGAGCACATTTTCTTCGTTATTTCAACATGTCGTTCTGCAAATGAACAATCACCAAAACTTGTAGAATTTGTTAGTTATAAATCCTAATACTAAGTTTGGTGTTCATTTGATTAGATTTTATGCAGGGTTTGGATGTTAAATTTAAGAGTTAAGGACCGCCAACACAGGTGAGGCGAGTTCGAGTCTTCTTCCTGTTTTGATATTCTTGGAGTTGGCAAGTCCAGAGTGTTGGTTCTCGCCAAACATTTTATCCTCGTTAGAGAGGCGAACTTTATTAAAGTCTTCATCATCTTCATCATTTGGCTAACATCTAGGCTTCCTCTTTACTTTTGCAAAGATTTAGTTTATTGTTTCTTATTAACTTGTGGGTATTAGTTTGTGACCATAGTTTATATATAAATTTACTATGGTTCTCTAGTTTATATTACAAGGCTCTAACAATATCTATCTAAATTTGTAATAAAAGAATTATCAATTAATTAATAATGTGTCACAATGATGAGCTACCGCTTATATGCATGTTTGTCTAATGTCTATTCTACACGTAGGTCTTATTTGGCAGAGCTATAGCTCTAGGATATATGTGAATTTTCTAGAGCTGGCCACCTGTAGCTCTAGGAAATCTGGATCTAGAGTTGTAGTCATGTTAAGTGCATTTACGTGACTCATTTTATTTATATTTTAGATTAAATAAAACATTTGAACCACTTTAATTTAATCTATAAACTGCATATCCAACATAGATCTCAAAGCTTGAGCTGTGCCAAACGGGTCACTGTAGTCTCATTAATCAATAGAAGTTCATTCCTTGGCTCCTTGCAGAGTGCACGAGCGTTGGCGCACAAGTTTCATTCATCAACGTACATTATTGCACAATATGAGTTGCATGTATATATCTTTCACGCCGCGTACATGCAAATGCCTGGGGCTGGGGATGATTGTGTCACCTAATAATAGCCTTGCTGGAGAGTTACCTGATGATGATAGTGTGTAGCTCCCCTCCCTATTGGCCGCGACCTTCGGCGCGCAACTCTCCGCGCCACCCAGCACCCGCAGAGAGAAAAAAAATGAGCGAGAAGACGAGGGGAGGACGCGTGCGAGGAAGGAAGGGTCCGACATGAGTCTTCTCCCCGTCTCCCTCCCATCGCGCCTCGCTCCCTCCCTCCCCTTGCTCGGACGTCGGTCTCCATGGCGTCGTCGTCTCTCCTCCTGTGCCTCCTCTTTCTGTCCGCAGCTGCGGCCGCCGGCGGCGCTGTTGTCAACCCCCGCCGGTCCCTCGCCGCACAGACTGCGAAATCAGGCGACATGGCGTCCCTGGCGGCTGGGAGCCCGATGGTGGCAGGGCTCATGAACGAACGTCTCAAGGCCCTCACCACCTCCTTTGCGCAGCAGATGGGCAGGGAGTTTCACTACTGCATCAAGAACATGTATGTAATTAATCAACCACCGCTACTTGCATTGCTGGCTTCCAAATCATTCAATTCTCTCGATGGCATGCGGATTATATTGATGCATGCTTTGCTTTGCTTTTGCTTGCCAAAAAATAAAACAACAACAATGCAGGGATCGAGAGTGGAACACGGCCTTCAATTTCTCTTCCGATCCCGCCTTCCTCACAACCTGCATGAAGGAAACCAACGGTAAAGATTTATATACATACATGCCATTTGGCTTTGCTGCTTGCAATATCATGATATGCATGTACGAACCAAGCTTATTTATTTGTAGGATTCACTGAGCAAAACATGGCAACCCTCAGCCACGTGAATGACCATCATATTCACATATAGCATGCATTGTCAAAATTGTAAGCATATTCATAGTTGTTCCATGGATCACCACACCAGGAGACCTACCGCAGCGCGTGTGCACGGCCGCGGAGATGAAATTCTACTTCGAGAGCTTCCTCGAAGGCAACGGAAGGAAGAACTACGTGAGACCGAACAAGAACTGCAATCTCACTTCGTGGATCGATGGGTGTGAGCCCGGATGGTCCTGTAGCGCTGGCAAAGACCAGGAGGTCAACTTAAAAGATGCTGTCAACATCCCTTCTAGAACCATTGACTGCCGAGGTTGCTGCGCTGGCTTCTTTTGCCCTCATGGCCTCACTTGCATGATACGTAAGTAAGCCCTCGATCGCAACGCAAGCAACCACACCTTCGTACCTCGCTTTATTTGCATGCTAGCATCACTATTCTTCGTTCTGAAATCTATTCGTTACTGCTTGCCTATTATGTATGCAGCATGTCCTCTGGGAGCCTACTGCCCTGAGTCCACTCTGAATAAAACAACTGGAGTCTGTGATCCGTAAGTTGAAACAACATGTGTATAGGGCTATAGGCTCTTGATTCTATAATTAATTCTCAATATTGATAAGCACTTGTAAAATGCAGGTACCACTATCAGCCACCTGCTGGAAAGCCGAATCATACGTGTGGCGGTGCTGATAGATGGGCGGACGTTGTTAGCACCGACGATGTTTTCTGTCCACCTGGTTACTACTGTCCAAGCACTGTACAGAAACTCGATTGTAGTAGTGGGTAATTCTATCTATCGAATGCCTCAATAATTTTGTTATTATAATTAGCTAGCCTCCTAGAATATATAATGATTTTTCTTAGTTAATGAGACATGCATGCAGGTCAACATTTCACACATCCATCCCAGTACTAACAAATATAAATCCATCTGTTTTGCAGGTTCTATTGTAGGAAGGGTTCAACTTTGGAAACCAGTAAGTTAACATACAGTTTTTCATATACAAAATCTGATACTTATAGTTTTTCATATACTATATGTGCTTGTGGTAATGGAGAGAAGTTATCAAATATGGGCTGAAATCCAATCCAATATTTTTCTTATGATTATATATACTGTAATAACTTGGTTTAATATTCTCTACTTGAAATGCCTTCAACCATTATATATATTCTAAGTGACCACCTCTTCTTCCTCTCAATTTGCATTGCAGAATGCTTCCACAAAGGAAGTTGTAAACCAAACTCGACAAATCAGGACATTACCATATTCGGTGCACTGCTTGTGGTACGTAATAGCATACTTACTGTGTGTTAATTTTCGAGTAGATATATTTTCAGTCAAGAGTATGATATGTGCCTTTTAATTAACCTAATTAATTAAGAAGAAGTAGATCGAGTTATTAACATCGATCTGCCCTTGGATGGATGATGCTGCATGTAGGGTGCCCTGAGTTTGGTGCTGTTGATCATTTACAACTTCTCTGGACAACTCCTGATGAACCGGGAGAAGAAGCAAGCAAAATCTAGGGAGGCTGCTGCAAGACATGCTCGAGAGACCGCCGTGGCCCGTGAACGATGGAAAACAGCTAAAGATGTCGCAAAGAAGCACGCTGCAGGCTTGCAGTCGTCACTGTCCCGCACGTTCTCGCGCAAGAAAAGCCTTAGGACACACGAATCGTCCAAAGGAGGTCTCGGTGGTGGTGATCTGCCTTCAACCGATGACCAGCCGACAAACGAAGCAGGAGGAGGAAAGAAGGATAGTAGCCTTACTGACATGGTGCGTTCCATTGAAGACAACCCTGAGAAAGGCGAAGGAATCAGTGTGCAAATAGGAGGAGGAGCAGGAGAGAAAAAGAAGGCCAAAGGGAAGCATGCCCATACCCAGAGCCAGATTTTCAAGTACGCGTATGGACAGATCGAAAAGGAAAAGGCAATGGAACAGGAGAGCCAAAACCTTACGTTTTCAGGAGTGATATCGATGGCGACCGATGAAGACATCAAGAAAAGGCCCACGGTTGAGATCGCCTTCAAAGACCTCACACTGACATTGAAGGGGAGCAAGAAAAAGCTCTTGAGATCAGTGACCGGAAAACTCATGGCTGGAAGGGTCGCCGCCGTGATGGGCCCATCAGGCGCCGGGAAGACCACATTCTTGAGTGCTATTGCTGGCAAGGCAACAGGATGCGAAACAACAGGGATGATACTGATCAATGGGAAGACGGAACCTATCCGCGCATACAAGAGAATCATCGGCTTTGTCCCGCAAGATGACATCGTGCATGGGAACTTAACAGTTCAGGAGAATCTCTGGTTCAATGCAAGATGCAGGTATGTAAAAACTGCAACCTTGGTAGTACTCTCTTCTCATCATCATCAGCTAGCTAGCTAGTAAATTTACACTGAATACAATTTCTTGCACGTACATGAACCAGGCTTTCTGCTGACATGTCAAAGGCTGATAAGGTTCTTGTCGTGGAAAGAGTAATCGAGTCCTTGGGACTGCAAGCAGTTCGTGATTCTTTGGTCGGAACTGTTGAGCAGCGTGGCATCTCTGGTGGCCAGCGCAAACGAGTAAACGTCGGGCTAGAAATGGTCATGGAACCCTCAGTCCTGATCTTAGATGAGCCGACATCAGGTTTGGACAGTGCCTCATCCCTGCTTTTACTTCGCGCTCTGCGTAGGGAAGCTCTTGAGGGTGTCAACATCTCTATGGTCGTCCATCAACCCAGGTTGTATTGTATGCATTGAAGATTCATCTTCTTGCTTGTATGCTGCATGCCTTTATTAGCTAACTGTGAAGTGGTTTTACTTGCAGTTATACATTGTACAGGATGTTTGATGACTTGATACTTCTCGCGAAAGGTGGTATGACTGTGTATCACGGGCCTGTAAAGAAAGTGGAGGAATACTTTTCAGGATTGGGCATTGTTGTGCCGGACCGTGTGAACCCACCGGACTACTATATAGACATCTTGGAAGGAATTGTGAAGCCAAACTCAAAAGAACCAGTAAATGTCAAGGATCTCCCCATTAGATGGATGCTGCACAATGGGTATGAAGTCCCACGGGACATGCTGCAGAGTTCTTCTGACTCAGAATCCTCTTTCAGAGGGGGAGGAGATCATGCCAAGGGAGGTGACGCTAGCCAATCTATTGCTGGTGAAGTGTGGGGCAATGTCAGGGACATAGTTGGGCAGAAGAAGGATGAGTATGATTACAATAAAACTTCCGAAAACTTATCGAATCGACGTACTCCCGGGATCCTTAGGCAATACAAATACTACCTGGGGAGGTAAGTCATTCCACTTCCACCATTTGTAGCTTTTTAGTCTGGTTCATCTATTATATATTGCTGACATGCATCCTTGTTCTGTATGTTGTTCAGGTGTGGCAAGCAGCGGCTTCGTGAGGCTAGAATACAAGGAGTCGACTATCTCATACTTGGTCTTGCTGGTATATGTCTAGGCACACTTGCTAAAGTGAGCGATGAGACATTTGGAGCGCTTGGCTACACATACACTGTTATTGCTGTGTGTAAGTTTTATATATCTAGATGGTGGCATGGAGTATGCCATTTACAATAATATTTTTCTATATATCTTGTCCATATTTGCAAGAGTAGGAAGGTGCATATATATTGATAGAAACAGTACGCGTCAAAACTAGTAAGTCAAGTAAGTGGAGTGTTAAGTTGTCATGAAAACAAGATACTTACTTATTTTTGCAAATGTTTATATACTTGAATTTGATTAACAATGATCAGAAGAACTTTGTTCATTGCAAATAATATAAGCTCTTGTTGGCTGCAGCACTGTTGTGCAAGATTGGGGCCTTGAGATCATTTTCGCTGGAGAAGATACACTACTGGAGGGAGAGAGCATCCGGCATGAGCTCGCTGGCATACTTCTTGTCCAAAGATACAATAGATCACTTCAACACGATTATCAAGCCGATCGTCTACCTCTCCATGTTTTACTTCTTCAACAACCCAAGGTCATCAATCTGGGAAAACTATGTTGTTCTTCTAGCACTCGTCTACTGTGTGACGGGGATTGGCTACACCTTTGCCATCTTTTTCCAGCCAAGTTCTGCGCAGCTGGTGAGCAATCTAGTTGGCTAGCTTAGATGTTCTCTACTTGTAGTTTATATATGTCTATCATCAACATTATCCTATGCTAACATCATAGCATCCTAGAATCTAGTAGAGATGTATGTAGGGGTTTATATATACTAACTGATCTGATGATTAATCTGTTCTTGATGACAACAGTGGTCGGCACTCCTTCCGGTTGTTCTAACCCTAATAGCAACCCAGCAAAAGGACACCTTCTTCGCAAACCTGTGCTACACGAAGTGGGCTCTAGAAGCATTTGTGATTGCGAATGCGCAGAAATATTCCGGCGTATGGCTCATAACACGGTGCGGCTCGCTGTTGAATAGTGGATATGACATCAATGACAGAATCTTGTGCATAGTGGTTCTTGTTGCCAATGGTGTGATATTCCGGTGTGTGGCATTCTTCTGCATGGTGATCTTCCAGAAGCACTGATGGATGAGCATGAACCATCATGGTTTGTCCGATTGATGTGCATGTATATGTATGTACCTCGTGCATTTGTCTGTGTCTCAAATCCTCTCGATCGGTCCATAGGAGCGCTAATATACTTGTTTGTAATGGCATGTTACAAGTGGAATGAGCACTGTTATCCTTGTAGATATAGACTCAGAAGCAAGTTGATAAGAGAAAATAAAAGATAGAAGTATCCTCAGTGTTACATAGTCAGTAAAATTTCATTTGTACATTAATTTTCCTTTTTCAGAAAGGGTGCTAAGGGAGGTACAACGGATGTGGTTTGAAAAATAGCGTGCTCCACTCACTCCTAACATTTTTGGTTAGTTTATTGAATGGAATGTGGGTTGATCAACCAGCACTTCACCCATCGCAAAACATATACATAGTTAGTAATGAGATGAACCACCTCATCTAGGATGAGTTGAAGTCTTAGACTAAACATCCCTAATTTCTTCATCCAATCTAATGTCAGCACTTCTTGTTGTGCATGCCCGCCAGCGAAAAAAAAGTTCAGCATTCAGGATTTGAGGTTGTCGAATGCAGAATGCAGTCTAGCATAATGGCAGCAGGGTATGCTGTGTGTGTCACATACAAAAAAACTTAACATGGATGCAGGACGCTTCCGGTCTAATTTCTGTTGGCTTTATGTCCTATGAATAGCCTGATTTACAGAGAAGTATTTGATCCTTGTTTCGAAAATAGTTTTACATCCTCATTTAGGAAAGGAATAAACTTTTGGTAGGCCTGTATTGTTTGAGGCCGACCTTTAATACACCATGCATATAGTTCCATACATTTTAGTACCATATCATGTAGCATGGCACTAAGGTAAACAATTTATTAGATCTAATTGCAAGATATTTTATGTAACATATCTACTTTCAAAATATTATTTCTATTTTCTAAAATAATAAAAATATATTAATATATACTTGTCTATTACTCCCTCCATCTCAAATTATAAGTCATTATAAGTTTCTTGAATAGTTAAAGAATCTCAAGTTTGACTAAATTTATATTATATAATAAAGTAATAACATTTATGATATCAAATAAGTAACATTAGATTCTTCATTAATTATATTGAGATGTTTTGACTCTCCAAGAAAGTTAAAATAACTTATAATTTGAAATGGAGAGAGTACCATATAGTAGGAGGTAATATGTAATAATTATGGGCTTTGCTGTGGTACCTTCAAATAACTATGAGCCATTCATTTAATGTGATCGGATGGTTAGAATTATCTATTACTCCCTCCGTTCTAAATTATAAGTCGCTTTGATTTTTTTGGTACATCTATCTTGTTATGCATTTGAATATAATAATATGTCTAGATATATAGCAAAATGAATAAACCAAAAAAGTCAAAGCGACTTATAATTTGGAACAGAGGGAGTACTTCATAGGAGGTAATATGTGAAAACTATATATTTATTCATTTTTTGTTTGGTAAAATAAGATAATTAAATAAAGTTCTAGATATAAAAATCTTCTTTCCAGATGTAATGATGCCATGTATGGTCTATTTGATATGGTAAAACCTTTTATTTTGCAACTTTGGATATGATAAAAATTTGAGTAGTATAAACTGTCGTGACAGCTACTTCAATTTGTATGTAACTTTTTGTTCTCCTGTACGTGACAACTATATGTTGTTAGTGTGTAACATATTTTATTTTGCCAACGTCTTTTAGTTGACGTGCACCATATTTTAATTTAGAAGGTCATCTTAATTATATAATATAGTTTTAATCGAGTTATTAGCATGAGGCACATTTGACTACATAACGTGTGTGTAACATATTTTAGATCACCGAAACTCAAGACTCAATTAATGTGTTAGCTACCAATCCGTTTCATGCATGTAACATATTTTTTTAATTGATTATGTAACATGACTTTTCCTACGTAATTATTTGTCAAAAATAAACTACAATATATACAATAACTTTTTCCATGTGTAAATAGACCGGCGCGCATGAAAAAAAAGACCACTTCTTGTGCCTTGCGCTACTGCATGCGTTGTGCACCACGCACAAACGAAAAAAAGGGAAAGGCATTGCTCCTATGATCTGCTCCTGTGTAAAATCACGGCTGGAAGCCCCTTCCCGGTGATTACGGGATTTTTGCAGATTTTCTTTGTTTCCTTTGGTTATTTGTTTATTTAATTATTTCATAAAATCTAATAGATCAGTGGCTCGGATTGTTTTGAACTATTACCTCCTAGTAGGTAATTTTTGTACTGCAGTATTGCCCAATAATTATCATTTATATCGACTATATGTCGGAGTACTGCACCAAAGTGGAAGAATACGATACTCAGCTTCCTGCTCATGGGATTGGGTTGGGCCTGAATTTTGCCGACAAGAATGCACACACGGATGGGCCTGAAATATATGCGGTCATCGTGTGGTTCTGGTTCCATCCTGTTGTTGAGTTCCTTCAAGCCTCGTTCGGTTGAGGATGGGAAGGATTCCCGTCCGAGTTTCCTTTAATAATTTGAATAGCGTCAGCTAGGAACGGCCCGGAACAGAGATAATCGAACGGCCCTTCAGGGAATTCGCGTATTCCAAGAAGGTAAACTAAACTTTATTATATTGTTATCTCTTATTATTTCAGGTCCTTCTGTAGATTCAGAGATTGTCTCTCTAGGCGGTGTTTAGTTCTTCAAATTCCTAACTTTGGCACTATAAAAAAAAAGATTCTCCGTCATATCAAACTTGCGGTACATGTATGGAGTACTAAATGTAGATTCAAAAACTAATTGCACAGTTTGGTTGAACTTTGCGAGACGAATCTTTTGAGCCTAATTAGTCAATGTTTGGATAATAATTCACAAATACCAACAAAATTACTACAGTGTTTGCCGTCACATCAAACATTGTGCAAATTCCGTCCGAACTAAACAAGGGCCTGCATGCAAGAGTGATTCCTGGGTCGGAAGAATCATTTATGAACCTGGGCCTTGTTTAGATCACCTCCAAATTTCAAGTTTTTTCACTCTCTCTATCACATCAATTTTTAGCCGTTTGTATGGAGCATTAAATGTAGGTAAAAAAATAACTAATTGCACAGTTTTGTTAGAAATCACGAGATGAATCTTTTGAGCTTAGTTGGTCCACGATTAGACAATATTTACCAAATAAGACGAAAGTGCTACTATTCATCAGGTTGAAATTTTTTTGCAATCTAAACATGGCCCTGTGCTCAATGTTGCATTCAATACTGCAACTGTTGCACTGCATAGGATTCTCTCTAGCCAGTTGTTCGTCAGGTCATGGTTGAACCCTCTGTCAGAAGTCAGAGCACATTGTCGTCATTCGGTATTTGTTTTTCAAAGAAAAAAGAAAAGAAAAAAAAACAAGAGGAAAGGCGCGCACTTTCTCAGCATGAAGAAAGTTTCTCAATCAGACAAGGCGCGCTTTGGAACTTCAAATTTTCATAAAAAACCACACAGCAATTTTGGTCCTGTTCAGTTATCTTGTAATCTGTACTTTTCAGCTTGTTTTTTCAGTTGGAACAGTGTTTATCTTTCACAACAAATCAGTCGAAACAATGTTTCGGCTTATTTTTTCAGCGAAGCGAACTGAGCCTTTATAGAATTTAATTTTTTTGAAAGAAAAACACAGAAAATAGGAACCCCAATATTCCAAAGGAGCGGTAAATCTATGAGAGTGCTCCTTTTGTTTTGTTCCCGTTTTCATGTAACGTTTGGCTCAAAACATACTACTCCAGTCTGTTGGAAGCCAGGAGTCTTATACTACACAAACATGACACAAAAGACATCAGCTTGTACTAGTCTTGTACACACAAGTACATAACAGATGCTCGAATTTGTTCCATTATTAAAAAAACAAGTACACAACACATGGTGCCACAGCTACGTGCAGGGCTAGATGCCATAGCTTTTAGCTAGCTAGACAGTAGTTTTGGGTGTCACATCGGGTGTTATATGAAATATCGTATGGGATGTTCAGATATTAATAAAAAATAAATTACAGAATCCGTCAATAAATGGCGAGACGAATTTATTAAGCCTAATTAATCCGGCATTAGCACGTGTGTTACTGTAGCACCGCATTGTCAAATCATGGACTAATTAGGCTTAAAAGATTCGTCTCGAAAATTAATCGTAATCTATGAAATTAGTTATTTTTTAAGTCTATATTTAATACTTATGTATGTATGTATCTAAATATTCGATGGAATATGATGTAAACTTTTGGGAAGGAAATAAACAAGGCAAGTGGACAGTGAAACTAGCCTGCAGCTCCAGCTCGAGCCCAAACACTCCAAACATCATCTTTAGTTTAAAAAGAGTAGTCCTTAGTTAAAAGCTAAAGGTGAAATTATTCCTAAAGACACCTTCATCAAAAGAGAGAGATGCAGCCATCTTTGACAAAGCAATAATGCTGCGTTGATCTCTGTGCGCGGAAATGAACACTAGAACGAATGGTCATGGTCTCATGGAGCAGCAGGCAGGCAGGCGCCTCCACTGGCGAAGAGAAGAGAAGACACCGGCGGACCGGCGCTCTTTTCCTGCGAGGAAGGAAGTTTCACGGGGAATCTGAGCATCTTCGTCCAAAATTCTGTAAAAAGCCTTGCATTGTTATCTCCTGTTTCCTGCTTTTATCTTGTCCTCTCTTTCTTCCCTACAGGCCGGCCAACTTGAGCTTTGCACCGCCCAAATTCGAAGAAAAGTAGTTGAAGCTGAAAGTTAGCTCTGTAGCTGAATTCATCGCAGTCGCTGCAACTGAAGATGTGCAGGGAGTTTCTTTGGAAGCCTAAAGTGTGCGTTGGCTGGGTCCATATATGCAATCTTTTTGCTCAAAGTTTGATCCTGCCGTTTGCTTTGCTATGCTCTCCATTCATCTTTTAAGTACTGTAGCATTGTAGTACCATGAATACGTTCAGTCTACTGGCTGCTGGCTAGTGTTACGTAATACTCGTAGGTTTTAGCTGCGATGATACATGA